TGTGCTGGCAAGCTCATGCTGACGCTGGGCACTCGATCTCTCAGCCACTGCTTTACCCCTGTGAGTTTGTACCTGCTCAGACACCCTCTTCTCTGGAGAAAGGGTGAGCTGTCCAGGCTAAAAACAGCCATTTAAAATTAACAGTAATTACCAGCTTTGCGTGAGACAAAGTGCCTCTGTTTCAAGATGGGTACTTCTAGGTACTTGGGCTATGTGGAACAGGAGGCTAAACAAAGTGGGATGCTTACCATACTAACACCTCTGGACCTTGCCTTTTAGCTTCCCTCCATTGTAGGGTCTGTATAAGAGGAAGAGAAAACAAGGGTCTGAATCATGAGCAGCTGCAATATACAAGACTGTTTTTATTAAGAACTCTTCAGTTCTGGTTTTAAAGCTGAGTGAATCTGAGCTTATTAACTTCTCAGTTAATGGCTTCTTTTCTTCAACATCTTTTTTTTTTTTTTTTTTGCATACTTTATTGGTGTTAAAATAGATCTAGTGTACAAATGAAGGATATTGATTGCAACCTCATTTCAGTCCTATGAATTCATATACAGTGAACGTGCAGTAGGGGAAAAATATTTTGATTATTTTTTCTTCCATTTTTCATAAAATGGGATTTTCCTCAAAAAAAAAAAAGTAAGCATTTAGAGTGGGGTAAATATCTAAAAAGCAGATTGCACGATGAGGGTATAGTCTCAGTAAAACCTTTAAAGACTCGGAGTAAGCACACACATCTGAGTGAAGGTCAGGATCAGAAGTAAGGTCAAGAAGTCATAAGTAGGGACAAGTTCTTCAACATTAAGGGATCTAGAAAGTGTGCAAGACAGCGTAAAAAGCAGGCAATGTAATCGTGGCTGTTCCAGTCACTGAGCAGGAATGCTGCTGCCTGCTGCAGTAGTGGAGAGGCTTGCTGAGCAGCCTGCCGAAAATTGAATTATGAGAAATGAAAAAAATGTGCTACTGGGTTGCACTTAAGAGCAACTCTTTCCATAATGCTTATATTGTAAGAGAATTTTAAAGCCTCTTTAAGATATGAAAGTTAGTGTGATTGTCTTAAAGCTATTGCTGTTGATGATAAATAATTTACCTCTTTAAAGCATTGATATTGCTTATCTTTTAGGCATCCTAGAAAATAGAGACCAATGGTTGTTGGCTGTTGAACACAGAATGAGCAGTAGATTGCAGTACGTACACCTGTAACAAGAAGGGAGTGATCTGAGGTCACTCTAGATTAACCTGTTATGTTTGTCACTTCGTGCTGAGGTTAGATGTCATCTCTGCAAAAGTCATCATGTGTGCAGTGACCATGGTATCCGTAACATCCAAGATGAGTTCAGTAGCATTGTGAAAAGTGTATGGCTTCTTCAGTTACAACATTAAATGGAGGCTTGTGCTGGACGAGACATAAAAATGATGTGTAAAAGGGCAACATTCTTTGCACTGATATGAGGTGTCATTTATTTCATGCTCATCTAAATCTTCATTAGCTGCTCTCTGCTCCCGAAAAGAAGTCAAGAGTCTGTTCTGAATCTTATTTGGTCTGACTGCCAGCATGGCAAAATGCAGCTATATCATTTCCATTTCTTCTGCATCTAGAAGATTTTCTTCTAAATGAGAGTTAGAAGGAAGGTGTTTACTTAAGTGTATTAGGTTTTGTTTTCCAGTTACGCAAGAGAAGAATGACTGAATTCACTTTAGGGAAAATTCACGCAGTGTGCTTTTTAAAGGAATATGAAATGACACAACTGAGGTAGTGCTCTCATTTTGTATTCCAAGTCTGAATTTTGCTCAGCCTACGAGTCCAATTTTAGAATTTATCCCTGAGTTTTCATGGCTCTTCATCTAGATTTTAGGATTTTTGAAAGGAAGCTTTTTTTTTTTTTTTTTTTTGGTAGGGTTATACCTTAATTCCCCTTGTTCTATATTTAATGCCCATAATAGCCTTTTGAAGGAGGGGGGAGCAATAATTTGCAAAATGTCTTGTGATCTTTTTGCCATTGCTAAGTTCTTAGGAGAGAACCGCTTAGTAGACAGCTAAGTTTAGATACTGAACTGATCTTGTAATACTACTTCAATGGAATAGAGTTTTTATTCTGGATAAATTGAACCCTGCTGGTTTTTCATGAGAGGGGAGGAATAATTACCATGCCTTTCTCTTTCTCATCAGCATGTTGGCCTGCTGCCCTGGCTTTTTAGTACCAGGTGTTACAGGCAACAGTAACTTGTTTTGTTTTTTGCTACCTTGTCCTTCAGCAACCAGTGTTTGCCTGGTCATTTCACCTTGTCTGTTAATGGCCCTGCTTTCTAAAATCCAGCTATCTTACTTCCACTGTACTGCTGTGTACTGATACTATACCATTAATCATTTTCACTTCTTCCACTACTTGGGTATTCACAAGATGTCTTTAAGTTTGTTTTATGTTGCTCTGTTTTCTTTCTGCTGATTTTCCTCTGATTCTTCAAGGACTCCTATACAAATACTAGCAGATTGCTATCAAACGAGTTGCAATCAAATGGTGAACTTGTGCTTTGACCAAGGGAAATAAAAACATATTCGTTTTCCTTGTAGGCCAGCTTAAAATATTTTAATCAAGTGACCTTTTGTCACTTCTATAGAGTATTACTGCAGTTAAGGTGAAGTGATGGTTACTTTCTGTAGGTAGTTATCATTTCTGAATGCAGAAGCATAAAATTTAATGGACTGGTGCAGTTGTAAAGTTGTGATGAGGTAGGTATTGCACCAAATAGAACAGCTCACTCATTTGACCTCTCTGAAAGTACTTGGGCAGTCCACATTTTGGCAGGATCTGGCAGGTTCATACTGCTAGAATTAGTACACCTTTTATTTTAAAAGGGCCTAGGGGTTCAGTGCATGTGTATGTATGTGTGGGCTAATGTTGCTCTGTACTGTGTATACCCGGCAAGGGTTTGGTAGCAGGGGGGGCTGCAGGGGTGGCCTCTGTGAGCAGAGCCCAGCAGCTGCCCTATGTCAGATCAGAGCCAGCTCCAGCTGGCTCCAAAAGGGACCCACCGCTGACCAGAGCTGAGACAGGGAGCGACTATGCTGGGCCTCTGGGAGAGCAGATTGAAGAAAGGGAAAAAACCCTGCTGCACAACAGCTGCTGGGGGAGCTGTGGAGGAGCCCCCGGTGGAGCAGGTGGATGTGGCCTGGAGGAGGCTGCGGCCCATGGAGAGCCCCCGCAGGGCAGGAGCAGGCCCCGGGCCGCAGCTGCAGCCCCCCCGTGGAGAGGAGCCCCCGCAGGAGCAGGGGGTCTGGGGGGAGCTGCCGCCCAGCCGTGGGGGACCCGTGCTGGAGCAGTTTGCTCCTGGGGGATGGATGGATGGATGGAGCCCGTGGGACGGAGCCGTGTGGGAGCAGTGCTTGAGGAGCTGCTGCCTGTGGGCAGCCCGTGTGGGATCAGCTGGAGAAGGACGGCATCCCATGGGAGGGACCCCACGGGGAGCAGGGGCAGGGAGGGAGCGAAAAGGAGCGGCGGGGACAAAGCATCAGGGACTGACCGCAGCCCTCAGTCCCCTGTTTCCCTGCGCTGCTCAGGAGGAGGAGGTGGAAGAGGGCAGATGGGGAGAAGACGTTTTGGGTTTCTTTCCTTTGTTTCTCACGTGTCTAGTTTGTTGGTAGTAGGCAATAACTCTTACTATCTCCCTATGCTGAGTCTGCTTTGCTCGTCACGACAATCATTGAGCGATCTCCCTGTCCTTATCTCAGCCCTTGAGCCCTTTGCATCGTATTTTCTCCCCCCTTCTTTTTCAGGAGGGGGAGTGAGAGAGCGGCCGTGGTGGAACTCGGCTGCCCATCCGATTCAGACCACCGCAGTTGCAAAGGACTGGAAAAGTTTTCCAAAGAAACAAGATGTTTAACAAGGAGATGCATAGTTTCCTTATTACGGCTTCCTGGGTAATTGGGGTTCTTTCCTATTCCCAAATCAGAGGAAGGGAATTGTTGATTTCCCCTTCTTTTTTCTTACACGGAAATCAAAGGTGAACTGCTCTCCAAGTGCGGGCACCGTATCAGAATCAAGCTCTTTTTGCCTGTAATCCTTTCTCAAGGAACAGATTGATCCCACACCTTCCACAGACGTAGGGGAGCAGAGAATAATTTGGGAACTACTCTAATTCAAGTCAGTTTGGGCATAGTGGTACTTCTCTAGCTGTTTCTGAGACAGACGCGTTAGCAACAGAGAGTGTTGTGCCGTCACTGGGAGGCACCTGCGGTGATGACTTCAGAAAGAGACCTGAATGATGTCACCACAGCACTTTGGGAACAGCTGCCTCTGTGCACGTTTAGCTGGGAGGGCACAGAGAAGGGTGCTGGGTGTGATGAAACCACGTGAGGATTTGTGCATGTCACCTTGAGGTGCACAGAGAGGGCCCATGACCTTCTGTAAGTGTTTTGATGCTTGGCTGGAAGAAACCAATGTGGTTTTGTTGTGAATGCTTCATTTTAGTATTCTGTAGTTTGTGTCAAGTCCTTACAGAAGGCATCAAGTTTGGTACTTTGCTCAATGACGGAGCTGCACAGAGTGAGAACAGACCCAATGTACGGGTGAGGGCCTCTGCACGTTCTCTTCTTCCTACAGACGATCAACAAATAAGGGTAGACAGAGAAGAGTCTGCTGTGGTCCTCCCATAGACCGCAAGTACTAAAGCATAAACAAGAGGCTTAAGAGTTCCCCTGTCATGTTAAAATTCAGGACAGCAATGGACTTCATCACATGGGCTGGCCTGTCGTAGTAGTGTCTCAGGCTGTGGTGTATGAAGATGCACTCCATCTGCTTTCAGGGTAGCAATTGCAGTGGGCAAGCTGCCTGACCTTAACATTTTTCATTTCATCTTTCACCAGAGTTTTGCTGGTTTCCCATGATTCACTTTTGGTCTAGAAAAAAAAAAATAATAAAAAAAAAAAAGGGGGGGGGGGGGGGATTCGGATCAAAATAAAAGGATTTCCTTTCTATTAATTACATGTTCTTACTTGACAGATTTGATTATCGACTTAGAAAGCAAATATCTGGCCAGACTTCAAGACTTATGCTCGCAGCGTGGGACAGCTCTCGTAAGGGTGATTCAGGGTAGCTTCTGGAGAACAAGACGTCAGATCTCCAAACCAGCTTTGTTTGTGCTAATGTAGGAAGGGCGAGTAAGAGTAAAGGTAAGAGTCCAGGTACCGTAAGAAGCGTAAAGTGTGAAGGAAACTTCTTTCTGGCTGACACAGCTCCATATCTAGTTGTCAAGTATGAAGAGAGCAGTTCTAAGTTTCTTGGGGAGAGGAAAACAAAGAGACTGGGAGATTGTACAAAGACAAAAATGGGATTAGCTATTTCAGGAAATCATAGTAACTGGAAATAGAGATTGGAAGAGTGCTTTAAGCCAAGACAGAAACTTTTCAAAACTAAAACCTAGGAGTTGGATGAACCAAGAAATGAATCCATTTTGATTATGCAGTTGTGTCCAGTGTTATCTTGGGAAACATGGTTTCCACGTAAAATGTATGTGGGGCTTGAAGTTTTCCTAACGCCCTTCTCTGTGTATTCCCTACTGTTTGGTAAGCGCTGAGGTCACACTGCAGACAGTGTGACCTCTCCCCACCAACAGACACCACTGAGCTGTCTGTTTGCACGACACGCCTAGCAGCAGAATGGCTTGGACACAACTGCGCCTAGGAGCGAGTTCATTCAAGCTGGTGGACAAGGTAAAAGCTCTGGACAAGCGAAGGGCAGGGAGGGATGGATGGACACACAAGATGATCACTTGAATCTCATTTCTCTAAGAATCCTTCCTGAGAAAACAAAACAGCACAGAACAAATGAAACAAGCAGCTAGCTTGCTGGAGACATTGTCTGGGAGACAGTGAAAACACTTGCAGACAAAAACATACCGAAGGACTAACTCTTTGAGCTTAATTCTACTCAAACAGCATAACCTCAAAGTCCTGTTTCTGTTCATAACATGGCTGGTACAGTAACATGGCGCATTCGATGACTTTGCAGCATAGATGTCAGGAATGCAGCTTGGGATCACCTCCTTCTACTGAGAGTTCAGTTTGAAGGGATGAGTAATTTTTCCTGGGTTGGTGGAAATCTAAAGTCTGTTTTCTAACACTCTTACAGACACTTCTCTGTCCATCGGCCTGTCCTGCCGACTCTGGTGTGAGTGTGAAGCTGTGGCAAGAGGGGTTTCCCATTCCTATTTGACCTGGTGGACACCAGCTTTCCTAGGAAATTGCTGATGTTGCTGAGGAGGCGGCAGTATCAAAGGCCTTGTTGATGAAGGTACAACAAGCTGGGGAGGCTTTGGCATTTCTGCACAGTGCTGCTCCCTGACTGTCACTCCAGACTCAGATTCTGAAAGAAGCAAAGCAAGCTAGAGGAAAACTGGATGTCCAGGTAATTTTATTTCTTTTTCTTTTTTCATTCTTCGCTTGTAAGAAAATCTAAGTCTTTAAAGCATTTGTTTGAAAACAGCTTTATGGAAATGCTTCTGGGTGTGCTCCTTCACCTTGTTTGGAACCTGCTTCACCTCGCTTCAGCTAGGGGACACCTATGCTCAAATTTATGCTTCCCATGATAAAGCGGCATTCTTTCGCTATTCTTTTCTGTGATGGTTGCAGGTGAGGTTGAAAAGAGTTGTCAGTATGATTCTTCGTTTCCTTTGCAGTATCCAAAACTCCGTATTACAGCGGATCTTCTCCTCTGATCTGAAAAGCTTCACAGGCCAAACGAGAATTGAGAGGAAGAAGGAAATAGAGAATGCTGACCAGTATTTCCAATTACCACCCGTAAGTTTTGCGAAAGAATCCGGTGCATTTCTGTAGTGGTAGAAAGTTAATCAAATCATGATCGTGCACTTGAAGGCAAGCAATGCTCTAAAAACAAAGAATGCAAGGCCCTGCTTAAGGACAGTCTTCAGGCTGCTTCTGGATCAACAGCTCATTTGGTTCTTCCACACCCTCATCTCCGCTTGCTCAGAAGTTGTGAAGGTCGGAAGCACACTCCGTCTTTTTCATCCCCTCTGTGTATCTTTTCCCTGACAGCAACTTCTGTCTTGGCTCTTCACATCCAGCCAGAGCAGTTTCTTTGCCTCCGCAACCTGCAGGCTGTCCTCTCGTGTGTACCTGTGGTGGACTGAAGGTAATGCTTGTAACGCACACGGATGCTGTATTCACTAGCACTTTGAGAAAAGAGAGCAAGAAGCTAACCTGCACAGCAGTTTCTTAGGTTTATGTATATCTCTCTCTCTCTCTCTCTCTCTCTCTCTCTCTCTCTGCGCATATATTTCATTACTAATTTACTTATTTAAAGATCCTTTAAATATAGTAGATCCTTTAAGAAAGCTTACTTGTCCTTCTCCTTTACTTGTTTTTAACGTTTACTTTTCTAACCAAGCCTTAATGTTACAACATTGGATTGATGTAGTTCTCAGTTCTTAGAAGTTCTCAAAGCACATCAGTGATTTCTATATTTCTCAATCTTCCCATCTGCATTGAGACCTCTTATCTGAATTTAGGTATTAGGTGAAGAAGAACACTGCAACCAGCTGAAGCCGTATCAGCAGAGATGCTTCTATGCTAGGAAGTAATTCAGAGTGCTTCCATGGCGTACTTTAGACAGATTTCCTCTGGTCCTCTGGACTCAGCATCGCCAAGGGATATTTCCAAGCTCTCTGAAGGACCCGTCATTATCTCTGACACTGCAGTCTCCATTAGGAAGGGGTAAATATTCCTTGCCCTTGTGCAAAGGAACTACTCAGTTAGCTGTTTCTAACCCAAATCTCTTTGTTGTCTTCTATTGACAGACACCACCCAGCTAGCCAAGCTAACCCATTGAAAATGGAAGGAGTGGGACATCTTCAAAAGCCTGCTGCTGCTTCTAAGCAGAACTGCGCTGTAGGTGGGGACACAGCAAGAGGACACGTCCAGGCCACGCTGGAACTGCAAGGCACCTGTCTGAGCCACACAACGAAGTCAGCGATTCCCAGTTGGAGACTGTTCCTCGACCAGTGACACAGCAGCTGGAGCGCTTCTGGTTGCTGCTGATGGGTTCCCGTGAATCAGCCAGGGATAGGAGCTATGAGAACGACTGAAGCGATCTGAAGTTACCTGAAAGAAAGAAAAGAGGAGGGAAGAAGACAAGAGGGGAGGGAAGGGGAGGGAATAAAAAGAAGGGAGGGGAGGGAAGGGGAGGGAAGGGGAAGGGAGGGGAAGGGAGGGAAGGGGAGGGCAGGGCAGGGGAGGGGAAGATAGTGTAGGGGAGGTTAGGGGAGGGTAGGATAGGGTAGTGTAGCATAGCATAGCATAGCGTAGGGTAGCATAGCGTAGTGTAGTGTAGTGTAGCGTGGTAGAGGGGAGGGGAGCATAGGAGAGTATAGGGTAGTGTAGGGGAGGGGAGGGCAGGGCAGGGGAGGGGAGGGGAGGGCAGGGGAGGGGAAGATAGTGTAGGGGAGGTTAGGGGAGGGTAGGATAGGGTAGTGTAGCATAGCATAGCATAGCGTTGGATAGCATAGCGTAGTGTAGCGTGGTAGAGGGGAGGGGAGCATAGGAGAGTATAGGGTAGTGTAGGGGAGCGGAGGGGAGGATAGGGGAGCGGAGGGGAGGATAGGGGAGGGGAGCATACGGTAATGTAGGGTAGTGTAGGGTGGTGTAGCGAAGGGGAGTGTAGGGTAAGATAGGGGAGGGGAGTGTAGGGGTGTGTAGGGGAGGGCAGGGGAGGGGAGTGTAGCAGAGTGTAGGGACAGGGAGCATAGGGGAGGGGACGGAAAGCAAAAGAGGGGAGGGGAGGGCAGGGCAGGGCAGGGGAGCATAGGGTAATGTAGGGTAGTGTAGGGTAGTGTAGCGAAGGGGAGTGTAGGGTAGGATAGGGGAGGGGGGTGTAGGGGTGTGTAGGGGAGGGCAGGGGAGGGGAGTGTAGCAGAGTGTAGGGACAGGGAGCATAGGGGAGGGAGGGAAAGCAAAAGAGGGAGGTTAGGGGAGGGTAGGATAGGGTAGTGTAGCATAGCATAGCGTAGGGTAGCATAGCGTGTGTAGCGGGTAGAGGGGAGGGGAGTATAGGAGAGTATAGGGTAGGTAGTATGGTAGGGAGGGGAGGGAGGGGAAGCAAAAGAGGGGAGGGGAGGGGAGGGTAGGATAGGGTAGTGTAGCATAGCATAGCGTAGGGTAGCATAGTAGTGTAGCGTGGTAGAGGGGAGGGGAGCATAGGAGAGTATAGGGTAGTGTAGGGGAGGGTAGGGGAGGGGAGGGTAGGATAGGGTAGTGTGTAGCATAGCATAGTAGGGTAGCATAGCGTAGTGTAGCGTGGTAGAGGGGAGGGGAGCATAGGAGAGTATAGGGTAGGGGAGGGGAGGGGAGGGGAAGCAAAAGAGGGGAGGGAGGGGAAGCAAAAGAGGGGAGGGAGGGGAGGGTAAGCAAATGAGGGGAGGGGAGGGGAGGGGAGGAAAAGCAAAAGAGGGGAGGGGAAGGGAGGGGAGGGGAGGAAAAGCAAAAGAGGGGAGGGTAAGGGAGGGGAGGGAGGAGGGGAGGGGAGTGCTACCATAAATAAAATTGCCAAATACATGACATTTTGGATCTGGAGCCAAATATTTGTGTTGCTGAAGGGATGCAAGACACAGACTCCTGATGGCTCTGGAACAGGAGGCGTTTATTGCCCTTTTTCACTCCTACATGTCCTCTCCCCGTAGCCCCACGTGCTGTCCACGCGCCCAAATCTATCATACAGTTGGTCAGAGACCCTCAGACACGCGCCTGGAGCCAGCCAGCAATTGCCCACTGCCCAAAGGTCCTCTTTAACACTTCAATTCTTGATCTCAGCCTGGCTCAAGTTTTTGTTTCTACCGCGTGTTTACTCGTTACCTCTAATTCAGGGACCTGCGAAACAGCGCGAAGCCACCTGCAAATTCCCTCCCCACACGTTGCCCTTCATTCCACAACCTGATTTATCGCTGCCATCCGCGCATTGCACAGTGCCATGAAAGGTTGGGCGTGCACAGAGGTGGCTGAGGATTTTCAGAAATAACTTTCCTTAAGAACTGCATCAAGACTTTTGCTGGAAGGCAAAAGATCGGCTGACTGATTAACGTAGGGATGGCAGCTGAGCAAGGGAAGCATCTTCCAAACTTCCAAATATTTCCTGGATGCAGAACTACAACTCCTCTGCTCTCCGCTTAGGAGTTTCCGTCACCTGCTTGGGAAGCAGAAGCAGTAACATGGGATTTAGAGGATCCAGTGCCAGTTAGAGGAAACCATCAATTTACGGGGTTTGAAGAGAGTTGGACCAGTGTTCCAAGGAACATGTACTAGTGCTGCATATCTATGCATAGAAATATCTCTACAGCTGGCTTGTATCAGCCATAGAGTGGCCCTCAGGACTAGGGAAGCGGTTGTCCCTCTGTGCTCGGCTCTGGTGAGGCCGCACCTCGAGCACTGTGTTCAGCGAAGACCTGGAGGTGCTGGAGCGTGTGCGGAGAAGGGCTCTGAAGCTTGTGAAGGGTTTCGAGAACAAGTCTGGTGAGGAGCGGCTGAGGGAGCTGGGCTTGTTCAGCCTGGAGAAAAGGAGGCTCAGGGGAGACCTTCCTGTGCTCTACAGGAAGCTTCAAGGAGGCTCCAGAGAGGTGGGGATCGTTCTCTTCTCCCAAGACCCAGGTGACAAGACAAGAACAAAACCCCTTAGGTTGTACCAGGGGAGGTTTCGGTTGGTTCTTATGAAAAATTTCTTCACCGAAAGAGTTGCTCTGGTGGGTTTACGTGGCAAGGTTTTGGTAGCAGGGGGCCATAGGGGTGGCTTCCGTGAGAAGAATCTAGAAGCTGCCCCCCGTTAGATAAGGGCTCCACTGCTGGCCAGAGCCAAGCCAAGAAACGATGTCGCTTGTTCCTCTGTGAGAGCGTAATTAAGAAAGGATAAAAAAAATAACAAAAAAAAAGCTGCTTCACAGGGAGAAAGAGAGGAGAAGCAGCCCTGCAGCCCCCCAGGTGAGTGCAGCAGGAGGGCAGGAGGTGCTGCAGGCAGGCAGCAGCAGTTCCCCTGCGGGCTGTGCAGGGAGAGGCCCCCGGTGGAGCAGGCTGTCCCCCTGCAGCCCATGGGTCCCCCACTGGAGCAGATCTCCACGCTGCAGCCCCCCCGTGGGTGGAGGAGCCCCCGGTGGAGCAGGTGGATGTGGCCTGGAGGAGGCTGCGGCCCACTGGAGAGCCCCCGCAGGGCAGGAGCAGGCCCCGGGCCGCAGCTGCAGCCCCCCCGTGGAGAGGAGCCCCCGCAGGAGCAGGGGGTCTGGGGGGAGCTGCCGCCCAGCCGTGGGGGACCCGTGCTGGAGCAGTTTGCTCCTGGGGGATGGATGGATGGATGGAGCCCGTGGGACGGAGCCGTGTGGGAGCAGTGCTTGAGGAGCTGCTGCTGTGGGCAGCCCGTGTGGGATCAGCTGGGGAAGGACGGCATCCCGTGGGAGGGACCCCACGTGGAGCAGGGGCAGGGGATATGGTGAGGGAGCGGTGGAGACAGAGCGTTAGGGATGACTGCAGACCCATTCTCTGTTCAGCTCTTCAGGAGGAGGGTAAAAGAGTAGAATGTGGGGGGAAGGTGTTTTGGGTTTGCTTTTAGTTCTCACTGCTCTAGTCTGTTAGCAATAGGTAATAAATTATATTAATCTTTCTGCACTGAGTCTGTTTTGCCTCTGGTGGTATTTGGTGATGTGTTCTCCCAGTCCTTATCTCAACATATGAGCTTATTTTTCCATCGTATTTTCTCCCCCTTTGTTCTTTGAGGAGGGACAGCAAGAGAGCAGTGTGGTGGAGCAGTGTTTAGCTGCCCATCAGTTGTGAAATCAGCCGGCTCATTGTGAGCTGAAAGATGTTAGATTTGATCTAATTGCTTTTTGGAAATGAGTTGACAACCTCTCTACACACCTGTCAGCTGGCTGGGAAGTGGCACTGGGATCTTTCAACTCTCAGCCAGACAAAAGAGACCCCCTTTCTCAATGTAGAGGAGATAGGAGAGAGACACATCATTTTTTACCAGGATCCTCGTGTCAGCCTTTGAGGAGGGGGCTCCATGGATGTGAAGCAGAGCCCTATTACATGTGACAAGGCTGGGCTGCTA